TGGTGGCAGGCGCCTGTAATCCCAGCTACTCAGGAAGCTGAGGCAGGATAATCACTTGAACCCAGGAGGTGGAGGTTTGAGTGAGCAGAGATCATGCCCTTGCACTCCAGCCTGGGTAACAGGAGAGAAACTCTATCTCAAAAAAACAAAAAAAAGGTTCACTTTATGTTCTATCAATTTGCTTCAATTCTTTTTGCCTCAATTAAAAAAAAATGTTTTAAAAGGAACTACCTAGGAGTAAGAAGGAGATGTAAATATAATTTTGTTGACAGTTAAACCTATTCAATAATAATGATGTTTTTGCATTTTGAAAAATTGATGAAACAAAACCCAGTGATACACAGGCAGCCCTCGTGGTTCTGAGCGAGCTGCGGGGACTCCTGCAGCCCCGCCAGGGAGCACTGACGGATGACGCACCTGACAGCTTTCCTGTCTGTTTCTCTGATAGAGGTGGAGAAAACCCGGTGCCAGCATGAGCGAGAACACATTCTCGGGGCAGCGGGGGCGGCGGACCCACAGCGACCCATTCCTCCAGGGCTGTTCGTTCCTGAGTGCGATGCGCACGGGCACTACGCGCCCACCCAGTGCCACGGCAGCACCGGCTACTGCTGGTGCGTGGATCGCGACGGCCGCGAGGTGGAGGGCACCAGGACCAGGCCCGGGATGACGCCCCCGTGTAAGTGGGTGCAGGCCGTGCTTGGGCGTGTGCCTGAGAAGGACCTCGGGGACCGGAATTGCTGAACACGTACTTGGCTCTTCTGCTGCGCTAAAGCTTGAACTGTTCCACTGGCTCCAGCCCCACCCCCTCCCTCTGCACCCCTCTTGCCTCTCACCCCGCTCCTCCCCATGCTTCCTCTCCTCCTCACACTCTCTGTCCTCTTCCCCTCTTCTTTCTCTTTCCCCATCCAACACACACACATGTGTAGGGTGTAAATACCCAGTGGGGCCTGCCACAGCAGTACCCTTAATGGCAGCAGAGCGACTGTGTGTGCTCCGGGCCTCCCAGAGGAACTCTTTGCCGAGGGAGGCTGGAGGTGGAATGTTCCTGCTCTGGGATATGGCAGGGACGGTGGGGACCAACCTGAACGTCTTCCCCAGGGCTCGGTGTCCTAGGCAGTGGGACCTGTTCAGACCCTTGCAACCCTTGCCTCCTTCAATCGTGCCCTAGGGCCTTTAGCTACTTGGGTTGATTTTTCAGTCCAAGGAGCAAACAGCCACAAAGCTTTCTGCGTGAGCTGGTTTTAAGACCATCACCGGAGGCAGTGGGAAGTTGCTGTCCTAGGGGCCAGGGGCCCTGTGTGAGGCCCAGCCTGGTGGCTGTGTGACTCTGGACAGACACCTTCCCCAGCCTCAGCGTCCTCAGTCTCAGCCTAAGACATGAGGCAGAATAACCCTGAGAGTGATTCCCAGCTCTAAAATTCTGCTTCTGTTGCAAATGTAGAAACTGGTTATTGTCACAAATTATCAAAAACCAATATAATAAATCTTTGAATCTCCACTCACAATTTAGCTAAAAATAATAGATTGATCTCCTATCAGATATTTCCCCAAAGCTGCTAATAAACAGTAAAACAATTACTCAGAAACTTCACTCATTCACACAGCCAACATTCACTGAGGGGCAGTGCTGTGGTGGGTGCTAGGATATCCAGAGGAAATTCACGGTGCTGGGCGCCCAAGAAGCGGAAAGGACGGTGAATAAACAGGAACAGTGTAGGGAGATGAGCTTTAGGAGAGGGTGGACAGCGACCAGGGAGCCGAGGAGGAATCCTGGCTTGTGTGGGGCGATGGGCTCATGGGTGAGGCTGTCCAGAAGCAACACTACGTGAGCCACGTTTCTAAGCCTGCGTATTGGTCATGAGGGCAATGAGGAGCCTGGGATGGGTTTGGAGCAGGTGCCCATGTGAAGCAGGGTTTAGGTTTAGAGTATCACTGGCTGGGGGTAGAAGCTGAGAGCCAGGCATGACAGTCCCTGGCAGGGGGGAGGTGAAGGCTGTTGCACTAATGATGAATCCAGGTGAGAAACGGATGGATTTCAGAGATATGAAAGAGGTCAACCAGATTGGTTTATGTCACCGATTGGGTGTAATAGGCAAGACAGACAAGAGAAAGTGACCTTGGGGACAACCTTGTCCAGCTCTCACTGTAGAGAGCAGGAGACCAGGCCCTGGAAGATGCATGCCCTGTGCACACAGCGAGTGAGTGGGCGGGACCAGGACAGGGCTCAGGTCTCCAGACACCCCGATCAGCCCTCTTAGCCCTCCTTACTCTGCAGCACAGCTGTGTGTCCCTCCTGGGACATTGTCTTGTCAAGTGAATCAAGGAGCCAGCCAGGGTTTGAGGTCAGCAGATGAAAAGGCAAGCCTGACTCTGAGGGAAAAGGAGCCCCTGGCCATGATTTTGTTCTTGAAAGCCCATAAACATCATGCTCTTGCTTGTCAGGCCCCAGTCTGTCTATCCCTGTGGCACCGGGACAGAGTGCACTGCATGGGGCAAGCTCATTCTGATAGGCTCCTCCAGCATGAAAAAGCTCAATAGCTTGCACTAGAGCATGGCTCCCCGTGGGCAGGGAGTTCAGGGATGCTGTTTTTGCTGTTGTGCTATCACTGGTGCTGCCGGTGCTGCCGGTGCTGCTGGTGCTGCTCTTACTTGCTTCACTCCTCTAGCACCAGTGCCCAAAGCAGAGCATACTGTAGCCAAGCTTTTCTATTACGAGGGAGGCCGGCCGGGCACGGTGGCTCACACCTGTAATCCCAGCACTTTGGGAGACCTAGGTGGGCAGATCACTTGAGGTCAGGAGTTTGAGACCAGCCTGGCTAACATGGTGAAACCCTGTCTCTACTAAAAACACAAAAATTAACTGGGTATGGTGGTGCGTGGCTGTAATCCCAGCTACTCAGGAGGCTGAGGCACAAGAATCGCTTGAATCAGGCAGGCAGAGGTTGCACTGAGCCGAGATTGCACCACTGCACTCCAGCCTGAGTGACAGAGCAAGACTCCATCTCAAAAAAAAAAAAAAAAAAAAAAGAGGGAGGCCAAGCCTTTTTTTTCACATGACCTTTAACGCTTTGTATTACCTTCTTCATCAGTGCCCTTTGACTGAAGGCTTTCTTCTGGTGCTTTCAGCTATAAAATGGGCAATGTGTGGCTGTGGCAGTTTGTGGTGCCATGAAGATGATATGACCTGATGTGTGGGTGTGTGTATGTGTGTGCATGCTGTGTATGTGTGGGGGTGTGTGTGTGCATTTGTGGGTTTCTGGTGCACAAGGGCCTCGCTCACTGACCCCCTCTGCCATGCAGGCCTGAGTACAGTGGCTCCCCCGATTCACCAAGGACCCGCAGTGCCTACCGCCGTGATCCCCTTGCCCCCCGGGACCCATTTACTCTTTGCCCAGACCGGGAAGATTGAGCGCCTGCCCCTGGAGGGAAATACCATGAGGAAGACAGAAGCAAAGGCATTCCTTCATGTCCCGGTGAGTGCTGGCTGATTGCACCTGGTGACAGCTCCTGCTTCAGTGACCTGGAGAAACAAGCAGGACGAGGTCAGACCAGAACCCCAGGCTCAACCCCTGGAACCATGGGTGCTCATTCCATGTGGGCCTAGGTGACCATCTCTAGATGGGGCCACTGTATTGCTGAGCTGCCCATGAGGCTCACAGTAAGATGGGCACAGATGTGGGAAGGCCTTCCAGAGCTACCCCTTGGTGGTGGCTTCACGCTGATTTCGTACCTTGTTCGTGTGCATCTGCTGGCTTGATCTTTCCATTCCTGCTAAATTCATGGTGATTCATCTTTCAGCAGCTGCTCAATTCGAGAGCCTCATATCTGCCCTGAGGTAGCAACAAGCATTGGAGTTTTTAGAGGCTTTCAAAGCTTCAAGATGCATTTTGTGATTTAGGGACTTCTTTTCCCATTAGATAGAGGTTGGGCAATTCAGAAAAGTCATTCTGTTTTATCTGATCCTGACTCCTGCCAAGAAACCAAACCTGAGACCTGCAGGCTTCCACTACAAGGCTGAGTCAGAGTTGTTGGAGCAGTGGGAGGGGCTATGAGGGTCCCATGAGGAGTGAAGGAGAGGGAGGGTCTGAGATCATTGGCGCTTGTAAAAGAAAGTCCAGCAGAAAGCCCTATCATTCCTCACTGGGGGCACAAAGTCTGCTTGAAAATTCTTGGTAAAGATGCTACTTGGGCCATCTTGTCTGCCACAGGCCCAGCTTCCAGTTTTTCTTCTCTTCCTCCTTTCTCTACCCATTGTGTTTTCTTCTTTTTCTACTTACTCTTCCTGAATTGATCTCCACTTCATAGATGCCACACATAGCCACATCCCTTCTTTGGGACCAGGGAGGAAATATCAGCAAAAAAGTATCCAAAATAAAAATACTTCTCAAAAGCCTCTTGCAAAGAAGTCTTTATGAGATTCATGTCCTTTTCCTGCACAAAGCCCTCAGATGGGTTCCCTCTTCACTCAGAATAAAATCCAGTCCTTTGCATGTCCCTCAAAACCGTATAGGATCTGGCCTCTTGTTCTCTCTCCCACCCTGTTCCCTACCACTCTCACCTCACTCACCGACTTCAACCCTCTGGCCCTCTGGCTGGTCTTTGAACACACCAGGCACATCTCTGTCTCAGGGCCTTTGCACTTGCAGTTCCCCCGCCTGACAATTGCACAGTTCACTGCCTTACTTCATGCAAATTTCTACCAAAGCATCATCTCTCAGAGAGGCCTGTCCTGATCC